CTGCGACTGGGAGGTCTCGGTGGATGAGAGACGGCTGTGCTTGGGCTCCACGTACGGGCTCGTGCAGCTCATCTGCAACGTCAGCAACGGAGCGACCTTCAGATCAGCACAGACCGAGACCTACCGCTAGTAACAATCACGCACTTTTCATGGTCTCTGATGGCACCCGGCTTAGTAACAAAGGCACAAACTTACCTGATTAACCTGCCCTGATCCTAACTTTAAGGAATGCACACATCTACACGTGCCTCACCTGTGGGCCAAATACCGATACTTAGCTGTAGTAAGTATCCCTGTTACGTCCCTTCGTTTACAAAATAAGCCAACACAATTATTTGCAGAAAACTTTGCAGAATACAGCACTACAGAAGACAGAGATGTGTCTGGTCCATTAAAAATCTTGAAAATGCCATCCAAATGCCTGGATGTTGTCCCCTTGCTAAAATATTATCTTTAAAAAATTTCTTTGGCATCGTCTTTGCAGTGCTCCAGTGCAGTTCAAAGTTCTATGATTTTGGAAGACAAAGTATTGCATCCAAATTAAACATCATGAACAATCTCTTTCCCCAGACTTTCCCAATTTTCAATCCAAATGTTTGCATTTTAGAAACTATATTCAAGTAAGATGTATTAGTTAACACTGTCTGAGTATATGAACATAAAAATTAAAATCGCCAGCACAAAATAAGTTAGATGTCCATACTCTGGTTTTATACGAACAGCTGCTTCAAGAAGAAATTAAAAACAATCTCCTTTTTTTCTAATTCATAGAGAAGCCTCCGTTTTCACAAGAACAGAACAACTGGTATCACTATTTGGCATATAAGAGATAACTTTTTTTGTTGGCATTTCTGTGGAAATTCAAGTGTGATTTGTTACTGTAAAGCTTCACAGCACAACTGTTGTGCCTTAGAGAAGAGGCTGTACTGTTACTGAGATGATAACATTTTGTCAGAGAAGATGATAAGGGGGCGGTGTGCGATTGCATGGATGAGTAGGGGTCCATCACGAAGGAAGAAAGAGTCCTGTAACTTAATCCATTGTGTACAGCACTTGGAATTATAAATCTGCGTTCTCTACACCCCAGTGGAAACAGCAATGACGGCTGTTCAAGTCAGCAATGCATGTTACTTAACAAATGCCTTAAGTCAAGTACTGACTCAAAAAATATACTGGAGAGTGCCCCAATGTGCCCATGGACTCGCTTTTAAGCAGCAGAGTAGGTAAAAGTGACACTTTACGTAGTCATTCCCGTATAGCGTTACAGGTGACTTACCGAAGGAGGCCGTGGGTAGGTGTCGTACGGGGGTGGCGGGCTGTCTTGTTTGGGCGTGGATGGAGTGTCGGCCTCCTCCTTATCACTCTCACTCCAGTAATCTGCAAGTTACATACAGGCCAGATGAAAAACTACAAACACATTTTGACACTCAGACTCACTTTCACAAAAGCAACTGGAAACTCTATCCTTAGTATTACTGAGAGTTAAACACCAGTCAGTGCCGACTCTGTAAACGTTAGCTGCTGTAATTTGGAGTTGCTTTAATTTAAATAGGGAAAATTCAAAATGTTATGGGGTATACTAAGTCTAATGCCCCATTGCAGAGTTATTAACCAACAGCCTGCAGAAGAGCCACAAATTTAACTTGTGTACACACCTTATAAATATACCATGAATACAGAATACTCCTAATACAAGAATTAGATTTTCAAATATTTATACAGCCATCAAAATAATTACGATTGGACATATATTGACTGGAAAATACTGAAAGTATGTTTTGAATAGAAAAGACGAAAAATGTAACTTGCGAAAGACTTGTTGACTGCAAAGAACATTAACAAACGTAATTAACACCAACTGGCAAAGCAAACAAGTAGTAGTTATTGCACACATGACTAATCAATGTTATTTCTCTACCCATTTTCCCCGTTGTATACTACCAGTTACCCAAGCTTTTCAATTCAATTTCTAATAACAAACAGCTGCATTTAAATAAGACAGAAAAACTTTATATTGTATATCTGCTTCATGAAACAGCTGATGTCCTGTTATCCATACAAGAACATAAAAGGTGATACGGTAAGCAAAAACACGACAATAACATTTAAGCACAGAGTTCCAAAAGATGAATGAAAAAATAAAAAGACACAGATTCCGGGCTAAATCTAATGGGATATGAGGTTTCATTTTGTCAGGAAATGAAGTCTTGGCCAAGCACATTTCATCTGTTTGGTAGCTTGATCAAAGTGGAAAACACATGGAAGAATGTACCACATGGGAATTTATATGTATTCTGTTGCAAATATTTTTGAAGCAGAACAGCACCTAACTAACAGGACACTGGACCTTAATATTCCTCACAAAAGAAACCTACTGAAATGTCGACTCAGCTTAATATGGATAACTAATGTTTCTACTCATTGTAAGACTTCTGCAAACATCTCTGCTGTCACTTTGTTTCTGCCTATATTACCTTCTAGTTTTTGGGTAAACCATTGTACAACAGGACTATTCATAGACTAATCACAGGCAATTTTCTCTTTGCCTAGCAAGTGTTCAATGAACTGCATGACTTGCTACTTTCTCTTTAATAGATGAGAAGAAAAAGATTGATTGTTGCTTCATGAATGATCTAAACCAAAAATCCAAGTTGGCACAACATGCAATTTCGGCTTTAATGAGTTTTTGATACCGTGATGATTGTTGTATTGTATGATTAATGATCTACTGTACCTAAGCTTATTCAAGATTTAGAACAAAAACTTACATTAAAATGACACCACGTTGAAACAGCTGTCCCTAAAATGCTGTATATTTTTAGACTGTAGTAATGGTGGGGGCAGCCTTATTTATCTATTTATTTTTTGCAAGCAGCAACAACTCTGTTTTAACTCTGAGTCTCTTGATTTGCTTCCTGCAAGCTTATAGACGAGAGATTCTCTTCAAATGGCATAATAAATAGCACAAATAAAGTTTTCATGGCTCTGAAATAAAAAATAAAAAATTGTCTCCAGAAATCTGCAAATAGTGAGTTTTTGTGGAATGAAAGACTAAACCAGAGAAAAATCTTTTTAAAGTCAGTTTTCTTAAAACTTGTTTCCAGGAACTCAAAACACCTGAAAATATTGGCATATAAGCATGTTTGTTCCTATTACAGCAAAGCCTAATGGCATGATGTGTGGTGAGAAGCCTGTCAGAATCGCATCACTCAGTGAGATTTCTGCAGACTTGGAGCTCAGCTGTTTAGTCTGAAAGTAAAATTTAGCAGCCTCAGTGCAGGTTCCAATTTTGGCTAAAACTACAAAGAGGTTCTTGCTGTCAAATCCACATAAAATGCTGTATGATCATGCTTTTGTGCACCTTACCTCAGACAGGGAATTCTGCTGGCAACCTACGGCTTGTCTAGAAAAATTCTGCAGTCACAGTGGTCAACTTCCAGATGAAATGTATGAAAATAGCCTCCCACCAATTTCTAAATGCGTTCTGCTTTTGGCAACTGACTCATTAGAGTCTATCTAAAACTTATAGAATGCTACTGAACAGCTGCCATATTTCATTCTGCAGATTTTGTCCAATTTGGTGATGGACAAGCTCAACTCATCGGGCATATCTTGAAAGCTTTTCTGCAGCAATAGACTGCATATATTATATATAAAATAACACTGACCTGCCATTTGCTGATTAAATATCTTCTATTTATATAACCAAGTATTATCTTCTCTGATTTTTTATGACTGGAAAGTGTGTAACTTCTCCATCCAAGGAAGTCTCTTGCCATGCTGCTAAGATTCATTGTATTTAATATGGAAAGTTGATGGTATTTTTATAAAACTGTTCTGTACAGAATGTGACATTTTATTCAGCAGTACACCCACAATTCAGTGAATCGTGAATCTCTGAAGCACTTGAAATATATTTATGCACTTTAGATTCAGAACCATTCAACTCTTAATTGAAACACGTTTGACAACTACTGTTGAAATGTTTCAGAGGTATCACAAAGCTTCGCTGCAAAGGGCTGAACTGAACAGAAATAAAAGACCTTTTGTAAAAAAAAGTTATGACAATTGGTACAGTCATTGAATATGGAAAATTCCAGCTTCACAGTTTTTATAATTGCAGAAATGCTTGAAACAATAGAGAGGTTTTACTTTGCTAACTTGATGCCTCTGCTAATTAGGGACACTACTGAGGTGTTTAATAGCCCTTATGCTAGGAGTCAAGGATAATCACGAGAGGCATAAAAACAGTACATGGCGGCGAGAGGGGAATGTGATACTGATTCCCACACTAAACACAACTAAGCAACACAAAAGAGGATATAGTTTTACCTACCTGTTTATGATAAATCAATTTGAGTGAATGGTGTTAGAGAGGTAATAAACATCTCTATCAGTGCCTGGGATATACTTTCAATAGTACCTGGGGTCTCTCTGATTACCTTTAACAGGCACACATTTTAATAACATGTAACATGAGGCCTGAATCCACATGAACTCATGTCTAGGAGCTGGATCATCTGTTATTACTCAGTGATTGCTTGGTAGCAAAAATATTTCTCCACATCCATCTGGATTTTGAAAGGTGTTATCATGTCTGTAACTGTGCACTTGGACAGTGTTCACGTAACTGTTCATACACCTTTTTCCTTACTGTACCATGTTATTGTAATTCTAGTGCCAACCTGCCGTCAATAAAAGTTTGAATTTGGCTTTGAATGCTAACATGGAGGATTTCCTAGAAGACTCCAAGATTCAGAGTTTGCTCACGGCCTCTTCAAGCAGTGACAGATGGTATACAGGTCCCTCCAAACTGGTTATTGTAGTACTGCCTGAGGAGCACAGATTCCCAGACTGATTTTGAAGTCTGGTGAGGCACTGAGAACATTACTGGAGCAACAGCGAGCATGGTGCTGCTATCCTGGCTGTGTGAATGCAGAGGGCCTGGTGTTACGAATGACATGACGTGCCAAGGATAAGTACTACTGAAACAGAGTGTGGGCAACACTCGCAGGATAAGCAGCTGCACTTCTTGGAAGACATGATTAGAAATGAGGCAACAGCAGGTACAACCTAGTTACGTGTGAGAATGAGAGAACGCCCAAAAACATTCCCACGCATGCTGCTACCACTGAATTACGGCAGCATGCTGTAAGCCACTGCTCTTCAACCCCACGCTGATCCCTGTGGATGTTCTGTGGTGAGACAATCAGGGTATGAATCAAGGCAGGCATAATTTTCTGATGCTGGCTTTTAATCTTCTACCACACAGAACATCCTACTCTCTTGATGTTTCTAGCTGGCTGCTGAAGTCACCCTTGTTTCTCACTGGGGAATGGAGTTTTTCGCACAGTGTCTCCCAGGAATGTGGCACCACAGCAACACACTGCAGAGAGACAGACCATGTGCATCTTCCTGCTCATGGTATCACACCAGAAACTGAGGGCTAAGGCTGCTGTCACAGAGGTTGGTACAGAACCATCACTTTGGGGGGCAAGGAGGACACCATGTGGCAACTTTTGAAGCATAGTGATAGCCTTTTGAACACAACTCTCCCTGAAAAATTGTAAAAACTATAGTCTTTGTAAATAAAAGACTAGATTAAATACATGCAACTCCAAGCTACAAGCTTTTTGGGCCAAAAGACAGAACCTTGCTGATGAATGCTCAGAGCCACAGAAATAAAAAGTGAGGTTTTGACTCAGTGGGCAGCAAGTAGACAGGCATGTGGATAAGCTCTGGATCATCATGACCACTGCACTTTTCTGGTGCCTACTGCCTGGTACATCTGTAAAAAAGAGCATGGAGTCAAAAGCCAGCTGCTTGCCAAAACAGCTAGTTGGATAGGAATACTTCTGTGGATCGATGTCACTGGCAATTCTAGGCAACAAGCTCCCCAATACAACCGAGGACTGACCCTTTCTTTTTCCCATCTGCAAAAAGGATTTCTACTGCAGCAAACTAAAGCAAAGCGACTGATTATTTTATATATGTCGCTTTTTCAAACCCATGAAATACTAGACATGAAAAATAAACAGATGTAAAATGCTGTACACCTGCAACTCCAGATGAACTGCCAACAGGGCTTCAGAACACACCTCAATACAGCAAAAACAGCAGAAATCACAAGAAATTAAATGGCCTTAAAATTAAAGTCTTTAGGGGAAATACAGTTATGCCAAGAGGCCTTGCAGATTTTCAAGTTTCTCCTGACAGGGGACACAGACTCCTTGGTACCAGATACTGGAGCTTACTGGCAGTACATCTGCTGCTTTTAGTTACCTTCTGCAGCCTTCTCAGAGATAATCCGGTGTCTGTGGACCAGAAGCTGAAGGAGCTAACCAAAACCCCTGAGAGAGAAGGAGTTCTCTAAAGCAACAACAGTGATACCCATATGTGAATTGCTTTCAGATGACGGGAATGAGGCCTGGTACACAGCAGGGAGTAAAAGAACAGATGAACTTCTGATACGAGCTGAGGGAAGAAACCAAAATAACAACACATTACCTTGGTCTTGTTTGATCCTCTCTCTTTCTGCATAGCCAGCAGCAAGCATGTTAATTCTGTTTAGCCATCTGAAATAATATTAAAAAAAGCAGTGATACTGATCCAGCCTCTTAATTTTTGGGTGCATTTCTACAGAAAACAAAGTTAGGAACATCTGAAGGAGATTCAGGACAATATTATTTTTCATATTAGACAGCTGTTTTCTTTGATACTCTTACTCAGGGAGTCTCCAAAGATCTGTGATTTTGATGTTGAACAAATTGTTTTCACACCAAAGATTTTATTTCAAATGGAAAACCATGTATGATGTCAAACATTCGTAAAATAAAAGATTTGGAGATAATCAAAGAGCTATTAAGTCTGCTGCTCACAGATATGCCATCACACCAATACTCCTGCTGTTCTGACTTCTTCAGAATAAACACCACTTTTCAGAGATTTAAGCAATATTTTAAGCCCTGAATTGGCAACTTAGCAGAGGAACAGAGCAGAAACCAGCAATAAAAAGAACAGGTTCACTCCCAAACAGACAGTGAGGTTTAATTATGCCATTATGTGTTTTAGAGCTTACCTACAGTGCCAAGTACAAAGAAAAGGAGGCATATCAGAATTGACTTTTGTGTTTGTGTCAGAGAAGCAGGGGGAGAAAAGACAGTTGCCCCAATGCAATTCACATCTAAGGCTTTAACCTCAATTTAGACTTGAAAAAATGCTTCCACAAGCTGCACAAACTAAAAAAAAAAACAACCCCAAACTATGCTATTCTCTTCTAGCAGGGCTGTCATTGCCAAGCATAGACTCAACTGCCTGTAGCAGTGCACTGCTTCAACCTGCCCTCTTCCCCTGTGGGGGTCTCAGTGTATTCATTATTCAAATGCTTACACTAAATCAGGTACTCCATCAATGAGGCTTTAAACCACCATGACAATTTGCCGTGGTTGCCCATTCCATGGTAAACCTGGAATTACTTGCTCCAGTCATCCCCAAAGTCAGGATTTGACAGGCCTGGTTTGCCAGCCTGCTGGCTTGCAATTTTACTGCTAGGGTATACAGAAGGAAAACTGAAGTGAGGTTTGCATTTTCTTCAGGGATGCGAAACCCCTGTTTCAGAAAACTGTGCCTGATGGCTTTTATTTGCATCCTGTATGCACAGAAACAGGGTGTAGCATTGTCTTAGCAAGGGATACGCCTTTGTAACCACTGCTGCATGCCAGCCTTCAAGACATTTTCAGTACAGGGTTAAGCAGGCATTATTACACCATAAAATACAGTTGCTCCCCTCCAAATTAATTCCTGTCACTGTTCTTCCACAAATGGTGACCACGTGGATGATCTGTAAATCACATTGATGGCCCCTAAATCATTGTACATCAGGAAGAAAGCTTGAGATTTACTCCTGAAGTGATTACAGAATACTTCTTGTTAGCATACAATCAAAATTTCTGCCAGAAGAATAGGGAAGCTGAAGCAGAGACTTAAATTTTCAGTTGTAATTGTTAGGAAGTGCCACACATTTATAAAAATAACTGGCACATAGGAACAGAAATCCAACAAATTGTGTGTTAGACAATGATTTCACCTCTTCACAGCAGAAAGGTGACCCACTACAAAGCTATCTGTTAGGTTCACATCCCTCATGTGTGAATGCTTTCTTTGGGGAATAAAGCTCAGCTGTCTCAACAGCGCTGCCAGCCCAAACCAGAGGCACTGAGGCAGGAACCGTACCCAAAGCACTTCAGCTCCATGCTGCCGAGGGAGAAGCAAAGGGCACAGACTTGTCCATGTCCCAAGGGTAAAGTGGCACAAGGAGACAAGCGCCTGTTCTGTCAAATGGCTTGGCAGGCAGTGGAGGTGGCCCTTCTCTTGCCTCTCGCTGATTTTGGATTTCATGTTACCACCCCCCAGCACAGCCAGCAAGGAACAGCCACCCACTGAACCCTTCTGGATAGGGCTGTTGGCCACAAAGTATTAGATGATAGACCTATAAAGGTTCTCCTGTTGGAAAACTTCATTCTTTCCTAAATATGAGACAGCATTTCATGTTAAGTGTGCATGAGAGTGAGGTAACCATTTAAATTAACAAACACACAATTGACAGTTAATTGATACTGCTTACAGCTATGGTTGTTGATTGTTTCCAGAAGAATGTTCTTTCCTGAAAAGTATGACCTAATGAGAACCCAGGAAATGTACACCAGTCGGAGAGAGAGACAGCAGACTGCCTTCACATTCAGTGATTTCCTGCCGGTCATGATCTGTGTCATGGTTTGGAATATCACCTGCAATGCCTGAGGAGTGAATGTGAAGGTACTGATGTGGTTGTAAACCATTAACAACCACGGCATTTGAGCAGTTTGCTAGTTTAGAAAATAAAAGAATAGTATGAACTTCTGCATATTTTCTGATATGTGGTTGCTAAAGCTTCTTCAGATATGGTTAGAATAGGTGTGGTTAGACAATTAATACTATTTTAATAAAGCATGGCTAGAGTTCTGGTTCATTGAAGTTAGAACCGTATGAGAAATCCAGTGCACTGGCTTGTATCAAAGAGAAACTAAAGATCTCCTGCAGAACGGAAGAGGAGAAAAACATGCCTGCTTACAGTTCCAAGCGTACTGTTACACAAATATTCCTTACTATGAATATTAAAAGATACCAAGCCCTAGGACATGGGAAGACTCTAGGCACAGACCACCTAAGCTACGTTTGAACTTTGAGAGGGCAAGAGGCCAAGACAATATTCATTCCTTATTGCAAATGTAGCTTTAATTTTCTTGTGAGAATTATAAAATCTGTTTGTTAGGTATGACAATAAACACAGTAGCACTGGTAGTTGCAGCAATCCTCTCAGTTTTTTTTTTTTAAGAATAGGACATACCTTTCTCATCACTATTTAATGAAAACAATTTTATGACATATAGAACAGGATTTATAGAAAAAAAAATCTTTCTGTAGACCTGTAACTTCTGTAAAGAAGAATGCGCAGTATTGGCACTCTCACAGAACAGTAGGAAATTTTCTATCTTATCTTCTGCTCCAGGTAGATGCAATGCTTTTAATCAAAGCAGGGTGTCAAATTGTCCTTAATCACAAATCTCAAGGACACAGGACAAATTTGCTGTATGGGAATATGGATACCTTACAGTGTCTGTAAGCACCCAACCGCAGTTTGACTGCGGTAGAAAAGCCTGTAGACAATGTGGGAGAATTTTTAGAGACCATCTTCACTCATATACTCCCGAGACATTCTCATGTGCTAATACTACCAGCTGACTTGTCATTTTTCCTCTTGATCATAACGCTACACTGAGGAAGAAAATTCTTACAAATGTCAATACTCAATGTCACAAAAAGAGAAAAAGGACAGCTCAGTTACAGCAGGTCAAGGAATTTCTCAGACAAGTATTCCTCATGAAGTTATGGACTGTATTTCCCTGCCTAGAAGATACAATTTTGGCAGCCATATATGTCATCACTTAAAAAATGGACAGTTTGGAATAAAAAGGAAGAATAAGAGTACTGTAAGTATTTAAGCCGGCCAACCCTGGAAAGGATGCATTTGCCTCTGAGCTGATGATCAGAATTTTTGAGTAAAGAACAGTTAGTCCATAAAAGCAGCAGGCACAGTTACCACAGAAAACCAAAATAAAGTTGCATACAGTATCATCGAATAGAAATACATGAACTGCCTTCTACATCAGAATATTTTCTTGGAATGGTAATAATCATGAATTTCAAGCAAAATGTTTCTATGACTATACATTTACACTAGCAAAACAGTGCATTGCATCAATAACGGATATTCTGTCCTTCTGCTCACTCAGACTAAGCATGTTATATGGGTAGAAAGAACACTTCTGCTGGTGCTACCATGAAGATGAAAGGAACTTCAGATGCCACAACTATAAAGTTCAGTGATCCTAGTTCTCCAGACTCCTAACCTGCATAATGGTGTGCCACAGTCATAAAAGTAGTAAGAAAATTTGAATAGTGACAGTTACCCGAGACAAAAATACCCATTTATATTAGTAAAAACACACAAACAAAAACTTGAAATCCTGCATATACTTTTTTTTTTTTAAATCTGCTAAATAATTTCACACAAGTGGTGAAGGAATTGAAACATTCTGAACTTTCAGTTAGACTATGTATTAGCAGTTTTCTACTTTCATTTATTTTGCTTCAAGTATAAACAGAACTGAGTGCATGATACATAATTAAAATGTATGTCAAAGCTGACCAAAAAAAAGAACAGAAATTGTTCAAAACAGTCCTAATTTAACTTAATAACTTGATTCTGTGTTTGACTTCAGCCAGGCTACAAAATGGTTTTAGACAGTATTTAGAAAGTATTTTGTTATCTCTGCATTTGAAAGATTATTTTTCAGTAACCCACTTTTTTTTTCCCAATATATTGAGTTAATTCAATGTTTGTGAAAGTGAACTACATTTTCTAATACATTAAACAAAGAGAAAAAAAATATGGTGAGACTCTAATGACAACTTAGATGTAAGAAAATCAAGTAATTCCATAGACCTTGACAGTTGCTTTAAAATTACATGTGTATAACTCCGATCAAAATCTGGTCAAGCTCATTCTAAATGAATTAATAGGCAATTTGTTGAAAATATGATAAAAAGACTATTTGTGCTTGGAAGTTAAAAATCTTTTGGTTCTTGGGTTTTAGACTGTGCAATATATTTTTAAAAGTTGATGCATATTTGCTGTTGCTTTCTGATTACTGAACAGTTACATAAATTTTTATCCTTAGAAACAAGATGCCTTGTCATACTGACTGAGGACCTGCTGACAGAAATGATTTATCTGCTGCTGTAGTTCAGGGTATGCGAATAGACCATGCCATTATTCTGTTTGCTGTGCAGCAAATTGCATTTTGAGTGACTGGCTTGACAGAATTATCAAGGAAATGCAAGCCTAAAATTTTACAAACAAATAAAAAGGTTTTAAGTTTTCAAACTGAGGAGAGACTTTTGAAGTGAGCTTTAGCCATGAGTGAACTTTTGAAAAAAGTTAAGACAGCTATTTCTAAATGAAAACAAGCGTAGTATAGTATCGGCATACTTTTCCAGTCAAATATTATCACTAAAGAACTGGCAGTACCCTGAAGGTGCTCTGTCGGGTAGCTGAATCTAGTACACACAGGAGAGATTAAACCATGATTACAGCACTTACTAACAGCTTCATGGATTGAGTTTTATCTCCTTTTTCCTCTGTTTTAAAAGCAATTTTGCTCAGTGAGGATGTTCACAGACATTATCTAAGATAGAACAATTCTCAGGTTGCAACAGTAGATTTTTGTTTTGTTTGTGTCCTCTGTCCTATAATGAAAATGGCATATTATTTTGAACTGAATTAATTTCAGTTTATGTTGTGAAACTAAATACCCCCCCAAATATTTGAATAGACTTGAGACCCATGGTACAGAAAAGCTCAATACTCATAGAATTATGACTTCAGTCCTTGTTCTTCTGAGTTGCTGAGATTTTCCCCACTAAATTCAATACAACCAAAATTTCACTTCAACATGTAGGTTGAATTCATGGTAGTAGAGGGAACATGCAAAATTAATTCCTTGTAATCTCTACCTCCTTTTTTAAGACTGGCAGAAGAAAAATCAGTGACTGCTTTAAATCTTTCTCCAACTTCTCATTCCCTCCAGGGTCAGAAATACAAGCATCCTCAGAGTAAGCATCACATGTCTGGGAGTATGTTAGGAAGCGGAGTTGGAGATACTGCACCTTTGCAGGTGCCACACAACCACACGCAGCATTACAGAAATCTGGAATACTGAAACTGTGTTTGGATGTTTTTTCACTTACTGTGTTTGTTTCTTTTTAGAAAGAGCAAATTTTTTTCTAAAAATCTTCAAACCTCTGTTTCAAAAAAAAGTAAATTTTGCATGAATTAAATATTTAGCATATGCAGCCACTCAGAAACAAGGCTACTCTGCACTTATTTTCTTAGCTATGAAACTTAATGTTTTAGATTCACACATAATTTATTATCCCTATGTTATTACTAGCTTCAAGAAGTGTCACATACTGGTTCCTTGAACTTTGCTAGATTTCCTTACCTGTTCATATCATCTAGATGTTCAGCAGCAAAATAAAAACTTTTGATCTTAGGATGGCAGGCTTTGAACGCACTGTAGAGGAAAAATATAATTATAAAAATGTAATGGCACAACTTTTTTTTTTTTAAAAGTAAGATAGTGTGGTCACCAAGGAATAAGATGAGTTCAGAATTCCTGAGTTGCTGGATGCCCTTGAACAGTATGTAAACATACAACTTTTAGGATTGTGCCAGATTTCACCAAGTAAAGTGCTCTTCAACTACCCCTTTCTAAATAATGATTAATTCATATGTGCATAAATATTGTTCAACATTCACCTGCAGTGAATATTTGGATAAAGTTAACCAGTTAAGGATATAATTTTATGTATCAGGCAATTTTGCTGATATACCTATAGGTGTCAATTTTTTCTGGACAGAAAACTGACGGAACAATTTATTCGGTACAACAGAAAAAATTTCAGTCCTGGTGATTTCTCACATCCCAATGACCTTGACATTACCTTTAGCTCTAATGACTGCATTTCATACAGAAAAATGTGATGTGCTGACTGACTTCTGAAAAGCTGTTATAAATCAATGTTGTGTTCTTGAGGTCATTCTAAGCAATGGGCAATTACCTCTCATCTTTTGTTTCCATTGAAGTAATCAACACGACTGGGCTGAGAGGATTACTGCATTTCATACATAATAGGAAATAAATTACTAGAAAGAATTTTTTAACTATGTTGGATAAAGATTTATGGTGAAGTGCTTGAAGATCCAGAAAATACGTCTGAATGTAATTAATAATTTACAATACAGAACAATCATTTTTGTGAATACGCTGAAGGTGTGTCTTGAAATAAGAACAAAAAATGCTAACAGCCCCGAAGAAAATAAGGAAAACTGCAAACACGACACACAAAGAACACAATCACCATTTTTCTGAGATACAATGGATTTTATATATATATATATATAAAGATATATATAACAAACTAATTCTTACTCTCTCTAATCCATTGTGTCTCAGAAAAATGGTAATGATTTTCTTCATGTGCATCATGCCAGCAATTCTCAGTAGATGTCTGTGTGTGTACACATACATAAATATAGGAAAATAGGTTTTAAGAAACTAGGGATATGAAATTGATATCCAGTAAAGTTACTGTTGGTGAAGGTAACGTAAAATTGAGACAAAAAGAATTCCTCTAACGCATTAGAGCATGACACAATGTTATGCAAGTGAAAGCAGATGTACAGCGACATCTGCTCAGTTTACAAAGACATCATCAAGTTACTGAGACCCAGAACTTGACTTTTTAAAATTTTTACAGCATCTGTCATCTGGATTCTTAGAGTCTTTTTTCTTTATCTGCCATTCAAGTAATTAATTTTAACAGCCACATTTTATGTTCTACTATCCAGTAGATACCAAATCAGGTAAAAAAAACAATTTAAGCCGGGTGCAATTCTGAAAAATAAGTTGACTTTATACTGCTGCTCCAACAAAAAAGAAAAAATGAAGCACTTCAACAATGTAGCCCAAGGACACAGGACAATAAGCCCAAGCTCATGTATCTCTTTTTTTAAATAGGCAGTTTTCATCTTCTGCCCCTTGAGACCATCAAGAAGAGTAGAGTTCATCCTGAAGGGATAAGTAGACCAACTGATACAAGGTCAGTGTCTTCTTTAGAACTGTATGTACTACAAATAATACCATCGTATTTCGCAATTGCTTTTCTGTAAAAATTTCAGTGATTCCACAGTCCTGATAAACTTCAAAGAACAGTGAAAACCATTAGAAGGCAAGGCAAAAATGTTTTCAACAAAAATGACTCTAAAAAACCTCAGTGGGAGTATGCACCTGTCACATCGCTACATATGCTTGAATTTGCATCTAAATAAGAAACCGATTTGTGCAACGGCACAAATTTGGACAGCAGCACACAGAGCTAGGCGAGAAGAAAAGTTATTTGAGACCTCTAGGTCATATCTCAAAAATATGGCAAATCGCTGTCATTCTCTTTTTTCACTCTGCCTAAGGACTGATACACTGTGTCAGCAAACTTTGAGATGAGGCTAACTAATCTGAAGTTACGTCAAATATTGATGCCTGGCCATGAACTTGGTGACTTTTTTATTTGGATGGTCTCTTTATTATGCTTAAAGCTCTTTATTGAGCTTGAAGGTATCACACATTCACACACCCCCCAATCCCAACAAACAAACAAAAAAACCTGCCAAACCAAAAAGGAAACAAAAGAAGAAAGGAAAAGTAGGAAAATAAAGGGACAGAAGCAGCCAAGCAGCCTTCTTTCTTTTAATTCATTTTGCTCTAGTCAAGCACTGTCATTCACGATAAAGTAAAAATAAGCCTTCCTCAGGAAAGATGGCACACAGAAAACACACTGAATTTGCCTGTTCTGTGTGAGCTTATTCTGTGATACACCAACTAATGATTGTAACAAAGTGCATTATGTCACTGTTTTAAGGGAAAACCTTGTCCTTTGTTCCAGATTTTCTATTGTATCATTGCATTATTTTTTAGCATACTTACTATTTCTTGCGGCATTCACTGGCTCTGTCAATTTTAAATTCAGGTAGACTGATGAATCCTTCTGCCTTTTCATCCTGCAAAGATAGTTCTAGACATTACTGTTGTTAAGGTGTCAGAAAAAACCACCAGCACACTGAAAACTTAAAGGTATTCTCACTTGCCCACTTCTTACATAAGGAATACTGATGCATGCTCTGCTCTGGCAAACCTCCCACAGAAGTCACTGGGAGTTTTGCCAAAGTAGTAAGACAGATCCCTTGGTATAAAATAAAATTTTAAATACCTGGTTTTCTCAAACAATTTCACAGCTGAACCAGCACTTGCAAATATACAAAATGGCCAAATGTATTCAGGCAATTAGTTATTGTAATTAGTTAATTTTAGGGGAAGATGGACTAATTAGTAAGGAGAAATGCAGCCTACTGTAAGAAAGTGGGAAAACAGCAATTTAAATGTGTGCTGTTTACCATCTTTATACAATATCATAGCTAAGAGGCATGATAACTCTTCAACTATTTTCATCTCTCTGTCTTCTCAAGAGAGAAGACATCTGACCTTCCTCCCCTCTCCTCTAAAGACTTGCACATAGTTTATTTTATCAGATATTCAATTTCCCTTGACTTTTCACAATTTGAAATCATTATTTATTTTAAGCTACTAATACATCAATAACACAGACTCTCTTATTTAACTGCTCATAACTTTGCATGAGAAATTAATACAGGATCATCAAAGTGAAGCTGCAGAAAACACAAATGTATGTTAAGAAATTCCACAGAATTACATCTTTTTCTCAGAATCTCCATGGTTATTTATGCTACATGTGCAGTCCACATGACTGTATGCTTTCTTAAAAATAAATGAAGGCACAAATCTGCATATACAACTAGAACTAGAGTTGTTCTGTGGAAGGTACAAGGTTGTAACAGGTTCTGCATTAGCAGGTATTTTAAAACTGAAAGGGCACTGTTTGGAATAATCTTGCTATTTCTTTTTTGCATGGTTACCTAAGGAAACAAAATTTTGGCAAGAGCACTGTTTGCTTGTCTGTCCATCTGCCACTGAGGCTCCCCCCCAGCTTTTGAATCTATTGGTGATTGCAGACACTTTGGTGAGGGAGCTGAGGTCTCAAAAATAATGGAAGCTCAGCAATTCTCAGAGAAACCTGGGACAGGGGGAAGACAGGGGCAGTTAGACCACTGCCCTCTCCATGGGGAACTAAGGCACAGCTCAGTGGTTCCACATGCTCCTTGGCCATGGCTGGTGACCAGTCATCGTACTTGTAGATATGAATTACTGCCCTGATGAAGACCTCGTAGTAGTCCTTGAGGAGGGAGGATGGAGAGAAGGGAGGGAGAGTTACTGATCTGAAGCTGGGATCAAGGCACAAATGGGATGAGTCTGTGGGAAAACAGACTTTGGTAACTCTGTTCATGGAACAAACTTGCTTTCTGTTTACTCAGTGAAAAGCTGGGGTTCACAATATCTTAAAAAGGTTACGTAGAAATGTTTGCAGTGATTAAAAGAACAAGTCCAGGACTGAGTACCTCCACATGCTGGCAATTATTCTATTCAGGATATTTACTAATGAAACAAATAGGGTTCAAAACTAAGGTTTCTTAATTCACTGGCAAAAAGCTTTTTTGCTAAAGCTGTTGTAAGTAAACATGTAGTAATGCAGAACATGGTGCACAATCAAAGCTGTACACTATTCAGTTGGGCTGCTGTGGCGCTCTTAAGTTCAGCACATATGAGCACTGAAATCATATCAAAAATTGCAAAGAAGGAATGACAGGAGAACACAACTGAGAAAACAAAAGCATCTCCCTTAATTGCCAGAGGTTTTGGTGATTTCACTAGCACAGATAAACAAGGAACACCAGGCAGCACATCATCAAAGTTTACATTCCCATGACTAAGCTTGAATGGCAGGATTAAATAACTACCTTTTCCCTTTCGAAGCTTTGAGGATAGATTCATTCTAAACTGGTGAGAGCAGGGAACAGGAAAGTGTGTTATTTCTTCTTGTAGTAACAGATGAATTTGAAGGATCAAATATCTCCAGACCTTAATGGTAATTTAGTCAAGCAGCTGGTATTAATTTCAGTATTATTATTTGGGTGAATAAAGTTATTCATATATATATGCACTCAAAGCACTGGCTTCCCACTAATCATGACAACAGCACTACACAGGGTAGCTGTTGAGGCAATGAGCACAAATGCTTACCTCTTCATTGATATACCAATATAGAGATGTATCCTTCAGGACAAACCAGTATTTTTTCCACTTCTGAGAGAAATAACTCTTGGCATCTTTCTTTTTCCAAAGCCAGCCTTCACAGTCCCCTCGACCGAGATCCTTACATGAGATCCGTCTTTTGCTTTTACCAGGAACGGGAGCTGAAAATGGCAACGAGTTGATGTAAAAGTGTTTTGACTTGTCCACTAAATCAACAAGACAGCTAGCCAGAAAGCACTATATATTTGCTAAAGAAAATTAATTACAAATTTCAACCTCAATTTGCCATGAATAAATTATTACAAACATTCTATTTCAACTACAAAGTCTATGCAAGGCACTGTAAGCTAAAAAAAAAAACCAAACCATGTTCAGCACCTAACAGAGCTTGTATTCTATGGATAAGACAAAAAAAAAAGACAGCACAGAAATAAAAGACATTAGGGAGAAAAGAAAGGCAAGACATTTAAAGATATGAAAAATGGTTATTTATAATTTCCAACAAATCAATATTTCACATCAGATTAAAGAACACAGCATATAAATTCACATACTTTCACATTTGGCTGTCAAATACAGAATCACAGAATCACAGAATCACAGAATAGTAGGGGTTGGAAGGGACCTCTGTGGGTCATCTAGTCCAACCCCCCTGCCGAAGCAGGGTCACCTACAGTAGGCTGCACAAATACAACTACGTAAGTACTTCATGGGTATTCAAAAACCTCTCTTTGCAGCTCCTTTTGCAACTAAACAGTTTCCAAGGCCTTTGCACTTCTAAATCAAAGGAGGACAATTTGCTATGATATCAAATACCTGACAGCTTTGGTAATGAGCAAGGGCGGCAGTAAGGCATTACGTGCACATAGCTGGAAAAACCAGCCCTGGCCCCAAATAGGCTAGAGTCTAAGTATTCAAATGAAAGACATGCAGGCAGAGGAGCATTAGGGAACTATGAGACATCAGTAATGGACTAACACCTTCTCGACATGATCAATGGAACTAAACATTGGATTTGAGCTAACAACTTAGAATTCCTCAAATACTGCAATAATCATAAACATAAACGTTGGCAATTCCACTTCTACCAATACATGAAAACAAATTAAACTTTTACCTTTGTTCTTCTTTTTACTTTTCTGCTGTAGAGAAGACTGCTGAAATGTCTACAAGAAAATCAAAATGGGAGAAGTGAAAATACAGTGTTTATATTCAACCACTTCCTTATCACAAAAAGAAGTGTAATGTTATGAACACTGAAGTCACCACCAGGAAACACCAGCCAACGGAATTCTAGGCCTAAGAAAAAAGGTAATTTTAGTTCATATGTTCATAAGGTTGTAAAGCGAAAGCACATAGTGAAACATCTTGAAATGAACCACACAGTAGTCTGCCAAAACAACTGAATTTCTTCTCTAAAATGACTGAACTTCTCTCATTCTGTTAACAAGGAAGGAACGTCTCCCTTTGGTTAGTATGATAGTGAAGCTACACAGCCTGTGCATTTGTAGTATATCATCTGATTAAAGTCTTCCTGACATAAATATGCAAATATCCAAATTAATACACTGCCTAATGCAGTTGTGAAGGCATCTATACCATGGTCTTCAGAACATCAGACAGTCCAGTCAGAAACAGGCCTACAAACACCAGTAAAACTCTGCTAAGTCAGAACTGGGAAAAAGTCTCCCAAATAAAAAATCTGAAATAGAAAACACTTTATTTTTTACTAGGTTTTGATTGGAAGTGTTTCTCTCCAGTTGACCCACTCCCATGAACCAACCCATTGCCTTGGCAATGAGAAAGAATGGAACTTACTTCTTTACTTTAGATCCTAGCTTATTAAAAATGGCAATCCATATTAACACATTTTATGGTCATTTCTGTTAAAAAACTTTGACTCAGATAATCACCATCACTCTAGTGGATTTTAAAAAATAATTCTGGCATTAATTATTACATATGACATTGTGGCAAGGCTTTGGTAGTGGGGGGGCTATAGGGGTGGCTTATGTGAGAAGCTGCCAGAAGCTTCCCCCGTGTCTGAAGCCGGCTCCAAGGCAGATCCAGCCTGGCCAAGGCCGAGCCCATCAGCGATGGTGGTAGCACCTCTGGGATAACAGTTTAGAAGGGGAAAAACCTGCTGTGGCACAGCAGTTTAGACAGCGGAGTGAGACTATGTGAGAGAAACAGTTCTGCAGACACCAAGGTCAGTGAAGAAGGAGGGGCAGGAGGTGCTCCGGGCACCGGAGAAGAGGTTCCCCTGCAGCCCATGGAGAAGACCATGGTGAG